GAATCTAAATTAAATCCATTGGTTTGTTCTTACTTGAATTAATGAAAGTTGAATAATATGCACTGGCAGCCTGTGAAGCTCCTATGATTTTTGGCAGTATAAGACTACAGTGCATTAATTCTACATATGGCCAACTTCATCCCTGGTGCAATTCCATTGACTTCAAAGGGAAAACCACAGAGATGTGTTTGGTCTGTTGAAATGCACAACCTTTTTCTGCTTGGCCCTGCCCTTTCCAGCAATTTCATAGTTAATGGAAAGGACCTACTTGATCTGAATAATTGTGATATAGCACCTTTACAACACAGTTTTAACAAGGCCTAAAATTTACCATTAATTAATTGTTTTTCCATTAAGGTTAAGCAACTGTTCTTGTTATTATATTGTACACAGTCTCTGAAAATATTGCTGCTGATATGCCCAGCAAAATAAGTGGAACTAAAAAAAAAAAAAAAAAAAACCCCAAGTAAAGCATCTATGATCAGCTACCTAGCACATTAAAATTGTATTATCAAGAAACAGGCCGGTGGTCATGAATTTTTCATAAAGATGAAGTTGTGATAAATGTCTTTGCACTTGATTGATGATGATCTGCCTTCTCTTCTGTGAGTTGGGAATGCAGGTTGGAGGTTGGAAGACAGAGCATGTTACAACTGTTAATAGGGGCAGCCACAATAAGGTGTGTAACATCTGGGAAGAATTAAGTCTGTCATCTCTGTGTCATTGGTACATGGGGAATTGCCTCATTCTGAGTATAACCCAAGGTCTGTCTAGCTCAGTATTGATGGAGTTGGGTTTCCAGACAGGGTGTTTCTTAGCCCTATCTGGAAATGTTCCTTCCACATGGAAATCATGTGGTTTACCACTGAGCTACAGCTTTTGGCATGGTTAACTCCATATTTGAGGGAGCTCTCAGCAAGGTGCCCTCTAGTGTCTCAGCCTATGTTGGTGGATTTCATTGAGTTAACTTGATGGGAGCTTGATGAGAAGCAGTGTTCTGTTCTAGTCTAGTTTGGAGTGAATTTCCCACAATGCTTTTGATGCAGTGTTGCTCTGGGCAATTGCAATGTTATCTCCAAATCCACTTCCATGGTCCTGATTGGAGAACCATTTGTTTTAATTGGGTATCTAAGCCAGGCACCAGCAGGTAGTTAGATCATTCATATCAGCTGATAATATTTAGTTTTGTATCCTATACCTTAACAAGTGAATAAAAGACTTAATCATCTCTCAGAAGTACAGAAGTTATAACTCTGGTCCTAGGCTTTCCTTTTTTGACACTGAAGAATCTCATCTGTTTTTAGGCATGTTGTTTATATTCTCATTGTTTCCTTGAAATGGGAGTCTCTGTTTTGCCTCTTTCTCTTTCCCTTTTTCTGCAGTAGAAGTCCCTTTCAACTACTTATTATATTAATCATTTCCTTTTGGTTGGTTTCAGGAAAGTATCAAAACATTCACAATAATACAGGAAACGAAAACTCAATGTAGCCAAGCACATACCCTGGATTTGTTAAAGCCAACTTTAACAAATTCAGGGGAATGAGAAACAAACTCCCATGGTAATCCACTCTAAAGGGAAGAGAAGCAAAAAAGGGTGGGGTATCTTAAAAAAAGAAATTCTTAAGGCACGACTACAAACAATTCCAACAAGGAAAAAGAGTAGTAGACAACAAAGGAGTCCCCCAAAAGCTTGTCCTTGAGAGTAGACACTTTCTGCTATAGTGCCCTCATCTTTCCCCTTGGTAAGGCGAGAAGTTTGTCCTTGTTGCATGTGTAGGCTGTTTCCCCCTCAGGCATGATAACAAACATTGCACAGATGTTGCAAGTCACCACCACTGTGGATTCTTCTTGATCCATTCCTCCCTCTGCCTTTTTGATTCTGTTGGCCTGTTGGAACAACTACTGCTTTCTCCTGTCTTCCCTGGCAGTTAAGAGCAGAGCCCTACTAATAAATGGGAGTGTGCTACAAGGAAGAAAATGTTGGTGGGTGTGGCTAATAAGAGCAAACCATAATAAGGAAAAGGAAAAAAAGAAGGAAATGTTGAAAAAAAGGTATGAACCTTCCCTGCCAAACTCTTCTGTCAAAGTCCTATTTTTTCTTCACTCTCTCCCTGGGAGCTTGGCTGATTGTATCCCAGAGTCCCTAGACCAGCTGGGGCAGCTTCCTCTGATCTTCTCAGCTCGGAGTCAAATTATTTGTTTGCAAGGAGTACACAATTTACTCAGCTTTTTCACATGGTAATTTGATCTAATCTGTAATGGTCTACTTAACTTTCATTCCACTTGATGTGGAGTATGGAAGCAACATGGGACAAACAGAGAAACATATGCAGACGTGTTACATGAGATTTTGGCACCATTGCAAGAGAAACATGTTTGGTAGACATTCATATTGCACCAAGTAACTGAACATATTCTGGAACATCTGTTTTTTCCAACATTGAGCACTAGGAGTGTTGTCAAAGAATAAATTGTGAATCAAAGAGATTTCTAGCAAGCTGAATTAGACTTACCTTATTTTAAAATGACATTAAAAAGTATTTTACTCACTATTCGTAAATAAAACATGTTGTAAGATGTATTTCTAGTTTCCAAAGCTTTCAAGAAAATGAAGTGTCCAACTTTTATTTCTGGGTCTTCACATCTTTAGGCAGGTGTGATTGCTGCCTGTTGTCTAAGAAGGCCTTTAGGTTCAAAGCACTAGTTCTCGAGTTCCTTGGTGGATCCTACCATTATATAAAACTCTATGGCAATATCTTATACATATTTGCTCTGAAGTGACTTCCTCTGCAACTTCAATCTATAAAGGATTGAAGCCTTAGAGTCAAAACATTTCCCATATATTCTTTTGCTGTAACCTTGGACAATGAGTGCTTGGGATCACAAACAAGAATCTCAAAGAGTTTTCTGTTTCTAAATAATGTTGCAATTGTTGGCTTTATTTCTTCCCACAACTAGTATGAATGCTTTGGTCTCTGATTTCATTAGTTAGCAATCTAATCAGACATTGTTCTTGTCTTTGGCCTTGAGATTCACTTTCGGTTGCTTATAAAGTATTTTTCCAGAACACTTTTAGGTGATCCTTCTGGTAAGAGATGACTGGCTGTCATTCAGATACAGTCAGCATGTATATCGGTGGTGAGAAAGAGCTCACAATAAATCTGATGGATGTTGCTTCATTTTCTACCCAACTCTGCAATATGACATGACAGAAAAAGCTAAGCACAGGAAAGAAAGTTGCAAAGAGTGTGGTGAGAATGTATGTTAACAGCAGTTTTTTTAGGATGTAGTCAACTACAGTGCCACATGCTTGAATTTCAAAATAAATACTAGCAATGTCACCAAAGTTTGAAAGTCTTTGTCTGGGAAGACAAACTCCATAATTTTTATTCGCACCTTCATTTCTAAGTGGGCATTCTGCACCTACACAGTTCTCCTCTTGTTGAGATGTTAACATCATTGGGAATAGATTTGAAAATTGTCCACCATTGAGCTTGGTAATAAGTTATAATTGCTTAGGAAAACACCTTGGCCAGTTAAAACTATTTCTGCATTGAATCCATGGTATCCAACCTTCACTAAAAATGCCCTTTTCTACCTGACATTTGGTCCTCTTCATGGTGGTGGCTGGTGCAATTTTTCCCCTGCTTTCCATACTGTTTGAACAGAAGAATCCCCAGAAGAATAATGAGTAGTGCTTTCAGTTCTCACAAAATGAAGCACTGCTTTATAGCATCCTAACTGATATTTAGAATTTACTCCTGCATAGGATGGAGAAGAATTTTATTTATTTATTTATTTATTTAAAACATTTCTATGCTGCCCCCATCGCAACAAAGCCTTGGGGCGGCTCACAAAAGGTTCAGATTTTGGAAGGTTCAGATTTTTTTATTGTAACCTATGCACATCTTTAAATTTAATCATATATGAGATAGAAAGAATAGGAGATTATAAAAGCTGAAGTGAAGGAAAAGGCAAAATTGGCATCTATCTAGTGTAGATTCCTGCACATTTCTAAACTCATTTGAGGAAGCCTGCAGAATTGCCAAGAGGTAAGATAAATGCATATACAATTGTAACATTTAGAGTAAGAATTAAAATTCCACTAAAGCACACTTACTTTGTAATAAAAAGTACACACTGCCAAAGCAGCCACTATTTTGATTTATATTGTTAATTTATATTATTCTATTTTGAAGTTTATTTACGGTTGTGAGCCGCCCCGAGGCTTCGGCCAATGGGGCGGCATAGAAGTCTCCTAAATAAATAAACTGTTCCTATTTTTCTTTTTAAAAACCTTATATATAATTTTAAATAGTCATTTAACAAGACAGCTTTGACTACAAATGTGCAATAAAAGTATTAATAATAACTAATAATTAAAAGGCCAGATTGATATCTAGAATTATCAGGATATACATTGGTAAATGGGATATTATAAATGATGCTTTTACTTTGCACATATAATAAGCAAAACAAGAATTAAAAAAGAATCCTTTTATTTCAAAGTCTGCTTCATATATCGAAGCACATATTAAAGCAACATTACAATGTTCATAAAATATAAGTGTGATGTAACATTTCTTACATGTCAGAATACTGATATTTGTATGTATACTAAAAATAAGAACTTTAAAATTGTACAAATAGATACATTTAAAAATGACATAGAAATAGGGCGCCTCCCACTGCAACAAGACAGAGTTTTATATCTGGCACGTATTAGATTAAGATGAAAGTATAAGCAAAAAGATTTACAAGAGTCAGCAGAAACAAGTTGGATGCTCAAGAGACATTATAATTGTACATTGTCCTGTACATACATCATATGTGTTTAAGCTGGCTGAATATTATATATTTCAAGTTTAAAAATGCACTACGTAGGGAGTGTCCATAGTTTAAGGCGAAATTACAGCTCAGAACTGTTATCCTTTCTAATTTGTGGAAGCTTCTTTGACATAAAAGACTTAGCTGTTCATTATACATTAAAGATTGCCTTCAATTCTAGGATGACTTTTAGAATTTCCCTTCTCTTAAATATTTGTATTTCACAAGTGGTCATTCCCCCATTTGCCCACCCCCCACTTCTAGTGAAGTTGATAATCAACTCCTATCTCTGCCTTTTGCATGAAAAGGAACTTCACAGTATTTACCACTTTTTGTCCATTTTAATTAAAGGAGTCCCTCTCCCAAATCTAAATGCTTTGTATGAGCCTTTCCTTATTTTATTTTAAAAAATACCTGCTTACATTTCCTCTGAATTTTTTTCCAGAACATTAGAGACAGTTCTTAAGGCCAAATTTGTAACTTTATTGTTAAGAATCATCTTCAAAAGTGTCTTTGGAGCCATATAAGTCTGCTAGTTTCTTAAAACGAGGTCCCCAGTTTTGTAGATAGTCATAATCCAAATCAGAATCTGTTGTTGCTGACTCTAATGAGCTAAGTGAACCAGCCACTGAGCCTCTTCCTTCATAGCCGTAGATCTGGATGGAGTCATATGGAGGAGCTGTCGGGTCATTATCTGCTTCTTGTATTCTCGTGTTGATAAAGTCATCAACATCAACACTGTTTGAAGCTGGCCGAAGCCCTGGTCGTGGCAAGTATTGGTATTCTGGCTTTATGTCTTTTCGAGGAATAAATCCATTGATGCCATCTGGGTTTTGCAAAGTAGCAATGTCAAAAGCTTCTGTATCTTCTTCCCCACCACCTTCATCATCATAAGTAATAATATTTTCTCGTACATCTTCTTCTTCAAAAACAATGAGAGGTTCTTTCTTTTGCCGTTTTAGTGTTACAAATAACACTACAATCACTGATGGGAGAAATAAGGAGGTTTATTTTATTATTTGCTTTAAAAGCATGATGAAATGAACTATCTCCTTGTGATTTGGGTAAATCTAGGAATGTAGAAGTAATTAGATTTTAGAGATGTAGAGACATTGGGCTGAATGAAAAGATTTCATGTACAATAAATTTTCATTTCATGAATGAACATTTATTCTGTTAATGGAATATTTGGATCCAGCCCATTTTGAATAATGATGTTCAGAACACAGATCAAATTTAATCTAGAGGTAACAGAATGATGTTGGCTGTTTTTTGGATATTGAAAATAAATCTTCTCTCAGCCAGACTGTGCCTGCATTCAGGTTCTTCTATCCTGATATGATATTCTTAGGGAATTACAGCGTGCCTTCCTTTGTACAATTTAGTGGATTAAGGACGAGGGTGAGACTGCTGGCCAGGTCATGAACATTAAGGAATGTGGCCTCTCCAGCCCACAGGAGAAGCTGAATATGAAAAACCAGTAGGCCAATAATTTTCTGATGCATTTTTATTTTAGTTTTTGTTGCCACACGGGACTGCAAAACTGGGATTGTCATGGATGTGGCAGGCAAAACATGTGGCTGGCAGGCTGTGCTCAGCTGAACATTTGGCAAGTTATGCTGCTATTGCTGGATAGCAAATTTGCACAGGTTGCTGGCAGTCCCTACCACACATTTTCCAACCGCATTAATTGCACTAATTAGACTCTAGACTAGTTTCAGAAGTCTGTTAAGGACTTTGCCTTGGCAAAATCAGATTTCTTCAATTCTCCATCTTATCTATCGCTGGGGTAAGCATTCATTAAATATTCTCTCTTGTGATAAATTCTTAAGGGAGGGTTTGTTGTTGCTGTTGTTCTTATTATTTACATTTCTATACCACTCCTAACCAAAGCTCTTTGGGCTGTTCACAACATTAAGTCATCCATCCAGATTTCAACCTGGCCAACCATGTTTAGCTTCCAAGATTAGGTCAGGATCAGACACTTCAGATAATAGGGAAGCTATGAATATCAGCAGGAATGGAGGTATACTTCCTTCTCCCCACCTGGCACCACCACTGCAAGTATCAACAGAATTCCTGGGTGACTGCCAGGCAGCCATCTTGTATTCCATGCAATACCCTGGACATTTTCTGTCAGGACATTTTGGGGAAACATGGTAGCCACCAGAAAAACTCACACACTTACACTTTAGTGGAGAATATGTAGGGAATATTCAGTAAAAATAGCTCCCTTTCCATGGGGTGGGATTCTCAGAAAAAAATCTCAGAATATTTTCTCCTTCTTGGTTAGTTCTTCAACTCATGTTTGTTTGTCATAAATAACACCTGTGTTCTACTAGACAACAGTTTTAGGATCATATCTTTGAGTAGCATCATATAAAACAAAATAAATCCTGCAGATAGAAAACTAGAAGTCAGGGGAGAAAGTTCGATTCTCCCAGTGTTCTAGTTTAGTGCATGCTTTCCCAAAGGGTGTATCATTGCAACAATGAGCGTCTACCTACAAATTGAACTAATTGAGATAGTTTCCATCTATTGTTAGATTGTACATCATATTCAAAAGGAAGAAGAGGATGAGAAACAAAGGAAGAGGAAGCTGAGATATCCTTACCTAGTAAAATCACAATGCAGGCAAGGATTGCAATTAAGGCCCCAGTACTGAGTCCAGCATTCAGGGTGTAGGCTTCTGGGTTGCAGGAGACCATTTCACCTTTTCTGTCACAGCCACAAATCCTAATGGTGAGTGTGTTGGTGCTGCTTTGTGGAGGGCTGCCACCGTCGCTTATCACAATAGGCAAAATGTAGAAATCTTGCATCTGTCGATTGAAGCTTGTGCGTTTAGCGTAAATACCTGCCGTGTTATCTATTTTAAATAAGATAGTGATTATTTGTTTATCTTCTGATGTCACCTCTTTTGAAGAAGAAATAGTGTTTCCCTTTCACATACAAACTACTATACATTCTATTGCTTTTGTCAGTTACTTAAGAAAGGAATACAGTGTGGAAAGAACACGGATTGGTTGAAAGTAAGAAACAGCAGATTGTTCTTCTGGATTCATAGTTCTCCTAGATTCAATTTTTTACCTTGGCATGATAGCAGAAAAGGCACAACCCTACCCTTAAAGCTCTCTTTATCAGAGGTGCCTGCAGCTCTGCTGCAGCCACTGCTCACAGCAAGTGCTGAATTCGTGGGCTGTTTCTATTATACACTTATAAACCCCACATATCAAACTGTTGTGAGTAGTCCCACCCAACAGGAATCACACATTTTGAGAAAATCAAGATGTTGAATAGCCACTCTCATTTGCTAGGCTCAGTAAGGACAAGTGAATCCATTTAGAACAAGAGTAATGCTTCCTCTTCTGGTCACATGGACAGATGCAGCACAGATCATGCTAAAAGCTTAGAAGCAGCATACCTCTGCATAACTGCTGACGGCTATTTTTTGTGGGGGAGTCTTATTTTTCTTTTGTTTGGTGAAACACCAACCAATTTTGGCTCAACCCTAGTTGAAGAATCTCACGTTGCTGATATTTGTATTTTATTGCCTGGATAATATGCCCTGATTTTCAATATGTAAGCAACAATGTAGCAGATCTGTGGCCAAAAAGAAAAAGAAAAAAAGGGGAAAGGAAAAGGAAGAAGATAAGAAAATCTTCCCCTGCTTGCTAACAAGATGCTCGGTGGTAAGGCGGCAGGCACTGCAGACACCACCAAAATTTGGCAACCATGCCTGTGGTTTCTTTGCAAAATCTTTGCCAAGGCTAAGGCAAAGAGGAAATGACAGCAAAGCCATTTAACATTCAGGCATTTTAAAGCCAAACAATTATTTTAGACTTGTCCTGTTGAAATGAAGGGAAACCCTGGGACAACACTGCACAGGGCTATATTTTCAGTTTCAACAGTGTCATCTGTTAAGTCATTCACCGTTTGATAAAAATTGGTTTAAATGATAATGACTTATGTGATACTTCTAAATGGAGCTAAGCATCTATTTGAATTTAGCTGTCAAAACAATTTTCTATGTCTTTATATTTTCAGTTTATTGCCTTGGCAGACACCATAGTTTCCAAGCACTTGAAAGAAATGGCATATATTCAGACATAATGTCACTGGGCTTAATTCCAGTGAAGCCAGTCTTGGAACTAAATTTGGCTCTACATAGAAACTAATTCCTAATGCTATCATTTCCTTAGATGTTATTTACTGCTTAAAGTAGGTGTGTGCAAGCCAAACACTACTGCAATATTTTCCACTCTATGTCTGTGAGTATAATCATATGTGGATGTTTGATGGTTTTAATCAGAAGCAGGACAGCTCTTAAACGCTTGTGAATTTCTCCTCTTGGAATGTGAGTTTAACTGACCACTCTAGGGAAAGGGTCTCTTCAGAATATTAATGTGAACTTCCCATATCATGGAGAGACATCCTTCTCTTCAGAAAAAGCTCATTACTTTTCCCTGTATCTTGTTTAGTAGTTTTCTATTTTTAAAGAGAGGTAAACAGTACAAATTCACCCCATGCACATCTTGTATTGGAAAATGCTTATAAACAGCACAAACATGGTTTCTTACTAGATTCCAAGTTGACATTAAAGATTTATTTAGTTTCAAGCAGGTATGATGTTTATTGCCAAAGTAGCAATTTAGTATGCATGGGGGTTATTTTTGTTTTTGCTTTTTGTAAATCTATGAACCAAAAAGCTGACATAAATTTTCAACTACATTGGTGAAAATCATTGCACTATAGTATATGACTACAACTATTATAGTACCAAATGAAAAATATAAAATGACTGGTACAGATGAAGTAATTATCTGAAGCAGAACTAAAGAATTCTCCCTTAGGGAGGTCTGGGTAGTTGCCAAAGTGAGGCACATAGATCTTGATTTTTTATGATTTTTATGATGCATTTTCTAACTGACCAAGTTGACAAGAGTACCAGTACATTCGAACCATTTTGGATCCATAAAATACAGAAAACCAAAATGTCACACTAGCAATCCTGGATATGAATAAGACAATCTTCTGTTTATCAGATGCATTTGCATGTCCTTCTACAAGAGTTTTTCAGAACACTTCTTGCATGTTCATAGTTTTTACGTGCTGATTTATTTGCATTTTCTCATGCCTTTCCATTAAAGTAGAATGGTGAACAGTTCTAATTCAGTTTTTCACCAAGTATCCTATTTAGTCTGCTCACTTCCAAGGTTAAAAGGAATTACAGGTTGCCCCTAAATTTTTCCACAGAGGTAGGCTTGGACAGTTGCTTCACTGTCTTGCAAACCCTTTCTACTTCTATCTGGAGACTGTTGGGTGACTGATATCTCTTCTATGGCCTGTTTGTGATAACAAGAATGACTTGTTACAAGAGGATAAAGCAACATTCATGTTCATATTTACTCCTTCCTGGACGTGCTCTTTTCAGTGACCTTCTTGATATCAGAGGAAAAAGTGCTGGAGTCCACTCAAACTATTGATGTTGCATTGAAACTTTGTTCTTACACCCACAAAATAGTTGTGCCACCTGATACTGAATCAGACTTTTGGTCCATTCTTGTTAATGCTGACTGGCATGAACTCTTTCCCAGTCCTTGCAGGAGATGTCATTGATAGAAACTGGGACTTCCTGCATGCAATCCGTGCCCTCTGCCTCTACGCCAGAGTCCCTTTCTTACAAGCATTTGTTTAGCCAGTCCATCCCAAACAATGGCAAACTCCATTAATGCACACGGAGGGAGAGAGAATGATTATCAGCTTGCAGCTTTCAACCATAATCAGATTCTTCAAAAACTGGATGGTGTTATGTAGCATATTGTAGTTCCAATTTTTCCAAAGAAATAAGTCACAGAAATTGTGGTATAGATTAACATTTACTACCAGACGTACTAGAAGGGAACTGGAACTCAGAAGAAAAGAGCCAATATTCTCGACTATACTCAAACAGAAAATGCACCTTTTGAAAGAAGAAGAAAGGCAATTCATACTACTACTGGAATAATGTCATTTGATGACTGCAATGTTTTTACTGGACACACATATAGGAGTCAAGAGATGTATAAGGACACCACCAACACAGAGAGATACTGTTTTGCTCTTTCCTAGTTGTGGGGGAGCTGTGCATTCCAGCCCAGAGCTAACCATGCAATATATTTTATCATGATATGCTGCAGGACACCTCTGTGGCACCACGAGACCCTCTCTGTAATGCTACCTCTTCCCGTGGTCCTGACCATATGTTAAGGTGGAGAAAGAATTTCTATTAAGCAGTTCAGGTGTGCATAAGCCATTTCAAATCACATGCGTCTGATCTTCCTGCAGGATTAGAATATTTCCATGTGATTAGAAATATTCTAATCACATGATCTAAGCCATCATGTGATTAGAATGGATGCCAAATGCATATAAGGAGTACAAGGTAAGACTCTTGTCCATTAGTAAGGCACAGCATGAGTAAACACTCCCAATGAAAGCAATACACCATTAAATCACCCATTATTGCCTCTTTTCTGTTGCAAATGGGCTGAAAACACTGATGACACCATTGACTATAAGCAGGATGTGAAATATGGCTTTTTATTTCAATGTGTAATTATTTCTAGGAGATGGGCAGGAGAAATACTATTGAATAAACATCTTTGGATCACATTCACTTTAAAAATTTTGGCAGGGGGCTAAACATTGGAGTTCTATTCACTCAAAAAAATAAAGATATATTTTCAGCAAATTCCCTAAGAGTGTGGTGGCATGTTATAAAGATTCTTCCAATTTACAAATGGGGAGGAAAGGGTGGGGGAAATAGAAGAATACTTCAAGCTATTTGACTTGCAAATTGGAAGACAGACTGACACAGGAAAAAGGTTACTCGCTGGAAGCCTTTTGAATTCATTCTTTTCACTTTGACTTTCCAGCTTAGTCTTTTATAGATACACAAAGACACAGAAATTAACCATGTTGTGGGGCTTTCCCCCTCATGAAAATTTCATTGATACATTAAGAAACTGGTCAAGTAGTTGGAGCACTAGTAAAAGAAAAGATGGGAAAGATAAACCCAATGGATTTCAAATGTTAGCAAGAGAAAAATCAAACCTACCAATGCATTATCTGCTAAAAAAATAATACAATGTTATGAAGTATTTCTGTTACAATTTTTCTTCAATTCAGAGGTGTTTCCCCACATTACCATTTAACCTCCCGCTGACTATCCTTTGACAAAAGAATTTTGAAGGAAGATTTGAAATCTGTCTAGAGAGCCATCTTGGATAAAGATGGGATAAAAATGTTTTCAATAAAATAAATATATAAGCAAACAATAAAATAAATATATAAGCAAACAAATGAACAAGCTAAATTGACATTAAGAGACTCATTTCTATCACCTATGGCTTAAATCAGGATAAAGTTTTCTTATTACACTCTATGTATTAATTAGCTTACCAATGCCTGTGTAACCTTTTTATTTTTTTATTTAAACGTCATTTTAATTGTTAACAATATTTGCTTATTTATTTGGCCAGGGCAACTTCTTTTATATTTTATATTTATTATTTATTTTATATTGTTAGTTTTAATTTTATATTGTTATTTTTGTATTTTATTGTATTTTATTGTGTTGTAAGCCGCCCCGAGGCTTCGGCAAGGGGCGGCATAGAAATGTTCTAATAAATAAATAAAAAAAAATAGCTAACATTTGGGTATATATGTGAACAACAATAATTAATATTTCACTTATCAAAGCCCATGCTTTCTGCATTTTTTCTGACCTCACTGCTTACATTCTGCACTACATTTAATTATTTCCTCCCCCTCTTGTCTGCCCACATATCTATAACTGATGAGAATTTGCCATGAAAACTTATGCCGCAATAAATGTGTCAGACTGTCCATTACTCTCTAGTAATAGCAGTAGTAATCAGCCTTTAGGTGCCATGAGACTCTTTAGCCGTATGTGCATCAATGGTGCTATATTTCTGGTGAGAAAGAAATTTATATTATTATATAAATGCAGGGCTTTTTTGTCATAGAACGCACCAGAACGGCATTCCAGCACCTTTTTTTCAATGGATTTTACGAAGTGATTTTGAACAGCGTAGCAGATCAGCAGCAAACATCATTGACATAGTGCCTGGAGGCTGCTATTGTGTCTGCTATCTGATAGAGATAGCTGCTTGGGACTCTGCTCTGCTGCTTGCTGCTCGGCTTGGGATTGGTGTATGTGCTTACTGCCGGCGGAGATGTGAGTTCCGGCACTTTTTTTTTTTAACAAAAAAAGCACTGTATAAATGTATATTATTTATATTCTGTTTTGATATTGACTGCTAACAAGACTGTGGCTATTCTAGATGGCCATGGTATAGGTACTGGCATTTTCCAGTAACGTTAAAGTAAAAAGTCTTACTGTAAAGAATTTTGAATGGGAATTGGGCAGGATTTAGCATTGTTCATAGATTCATTTTTTAATATTACACATGTGCCATTCTGCCACTGAGAAGCAGGGAGAAATCAAAAGACTGCGCTCTCTCCATCTCATTTATTTATTCTAATAGGGCTTACAGATGACATGCTGACTACCGCTCCCGAGTTCTCCAGAACACAGCTGAGCATTGATATAGAACTTTGCACATTACATCTTCCTCTCTAATTCTTACAATTGCAAAACATTTTCTGTATAGATTTTATATTGCTTTTACTTATCAGAATCAATACTAGTGATGAAATACTAAAGGAATAGCTCTAATCTGTTATCACTCATGAACCTTTGCTAAGGTTTCATCCTGAGATAGCCAGTGTCCTAGAGAGCCATTCATGGATAACTAAAATATTGCTGAATGACATGGTATAAGTAATTAGTCTGTGTCCATGCTGTATAGTGAATTTCAGTACAAACCTCGATTGTCTCGAAGAGTGAAATTAGGTTTCTGCAACATTTCTGGTGGCAAACCGAAGATAAATCTCGGGCCATTGGCTGTATCATCTTTGTCTTCTGCAGTAATTGTAATTAATGGCTGTAAAAGAAAGACACAAGTAAGCCTGCCCTGCATTTGTAAAGTGTTTCCTTATTTTGGTAAATTTACCCAAGAAGGAATATTTTGTACTTGCCAACAGAATATAAGTTCATATATGTTACAGATTCTCCTCTAGTACAACATGGACATGTGGAATGGCCTCTTCCCACTGTGGCCAGCAAAATGCACCTGGGAACATTGCAAGGAGGATAAGAGGGCACCAGCCACCTTTCACCGGTGTTCCCCAGCAACTGTTACGTCAGAGGCATGCAGCCTCTAAATCATAGGAGAGTTGATGGCCTCATATCCAACCTGTAGCCGTGGATAGATTTGCCTTCCATGATTTGTCCTATCCCACTTTAGAGCAAGTGTAAAGCATCATGCTTTGATGCATCAAGGGAAAACTTGCCATACAGGAAGAAGACTGAACTTTGGCACAGGATGTGCTTTCAAGGTATCCGGTGGATAAATAGGTGTCATCATCATCATCCTCAACAACAACAACTGCAGCCTTCCTGCCAGAGCCAACCCTCTGTAAGTAGGGACACACAGCTTTGGTGAAATCCATTTTGCCTTTGTGTCCAAGGCAAAATTATTTGTTTTATTATTTGCTCATTTATGGACTGAGATTTATGTCCTGTTCATGTGAAAAGTATGTGAAGAATATGCCACAGTTTATGGAACTGTTCCTGCATATAGCACTCTTGAGATTTTTCATTGCTCTGCATGAAATCAATGAGCAGAATGCACACATACGACAAAACTCCTACATAATCAAGGCTGTAGAGAGATCAAAGAAAGCTCAGAGATGTATAAAACATTTTGGGGAAAGGGATTACCAAAAAATCTATATTATATGTAGTTTCCAGCAATTTTCATATTTGCATACAGATAAATCTGCGCATGATTCCAGAAAGCAAAAAGAGTTCACAAAATCTGCTTGGCTTGGTAGATGACTTTTCATTGCTGAATCTATTTCTTTGCATTTGTGAAAAGGAATGTACTTACTGAATGCAAATGCAGAAATGGGAATGTGCAAACATTTTCTGGAAAAATGTTTTTCTGTTTGTGTTTGTCTTCAAGGATATGAAAGCAGCAAGTTCTGATATTTTGTAAAATGAAACACAATCCATGTACATTCTTACACAATACACCATCCATCTTGGTACCATTTGAGGAATCTACAGGTCTGCCATATCTGGTGTACCCTGACTTTTCAAAACAATTATCCCAGGGTTAGTACACTGACTCTCCGTCAAACTCTAATCCAGTGATACAGTGAACATCTAGCAGTACAAGATCTTCTGTCCGTGAGTCCAAAATTTACACATTTAAAAAAGTTGAACCCTGAACCAAAGCATACCCTAGATCACTGAAGCTTCAGGAAGAGATGGAGGGAAAATGGCAGCTATAAAAACTTTCACTTTCTTGCTGCTGATAAAATGTCTCATTTGGCTTAACTTTCAGACATCTTTTTAGGGATGTGGTTGATATTTGTTCTAGCAGGATTTATTTATTTGTTTGTTTGTTTATTTTGGTATTTACCCAGTTTCTGGGCTGGAACACAGACATGAACATAATATGTGGTTGGAAATCTATAAATTTTCAAGCTTACAATGCATTCTACAAAAGAAAAAAAACAGGTGTGACAACATGAACACATTGAATAGTAATAGATGCATGCTTGTGTCCAAAGTGTGTATGTTTAAAAATGCAAAAAAATGAATATAGAAGGTTTAAAAAAAATCAAGGCCATGTAGAAATAGGATAGTACAGGGTTGACTTCAAAGATTGTCAGTCTCAGTGCAGCTAATTTTGACATCTCTCTCCATTCCTAGTACTTTTGTACTAGCTCAGGTGCAACTTCTTTGCTGCTTCAGTAACTTTTCCATGAACATTGTACTTGTCCTGTGGGACAGATCCTCAGACTCATTGTCAAGAGAAGCACCCTAAATCTCACAGCAGCAGTGGTCAGGATGGGGGAACATTTCATCTAATTTATTATATTATAGATCTGGCTTGTAGAGAGCCAGGCATAATGCCCCTACTTTGGAAAGAAGTCACACATATACTTCTGAAATGAACCTAATTACCAGGACAAGTATTGGTACAAATTCCACACATCATGGCCCTGTAGCTCTGTAGAAGAAAGAATGTGTGAACTAGAGTTTCTGCAATTACACGTAGACCTCCAGGAGCTGGACATTTATGCTTTAGCTTCCTCAGAAAATGGGAAAAGACCTGAGCAAGGTCTGCAAGAAATCTGGATTCCATGGTGATGATCCAATCTGCCAGATGCAACTGCCTTGCTCTACCTCATGCTAGGAAAAGCCAAATAATAAAGAGAGGAAAAAAGCAAATGCAAAATACAATGTTTTAAACATGGAATCATCAAATACTAGAGTTGAAAGGGGCCAGAGGGTCATCAGGTCCAATCCCCTGTTCAGTGCAAGACACCAAGCTTTTCCTGGTACCTAGCCAGAATCTGGCTTACTATAACCTGACCCTGTTATTCTGAGTCCTGCTGTCTGAGATGATCGAGAAGAGATCCTGACCTTCCTCTTTGTCACAGTCTTTCAAGGATCTGAAGTGTATTTGAAAGTAATACTTTTCTGGGTTGCCCCTTCAAAGGAAATTGACTTCTAACTCTTTTCAAAGTAGTTAATGTATGTGTTTCAACCCTACAATTAAACTATGCTATATATGCACTACAGTAAATGGAAAAACCTATGCTCAAATGAATTTTTTCCAAGACTCTATTCTTAAGAAAATTCAACAGCATTGCTATTTCTCTCCAGAATCCACAATCAGACCTGTATGGCAGAAGTTACCTCAATGGTCTGTGTTTTTTCACATATTCGTGTTTCATAGGGTGTTGGGAATTTTGGGGCATTGTCATTTACATCAAGGACCTTGATAGCAACTGGAACTTTGGCTTCCTGGTGCCGGTTATCTACAAGTTATTAAAGAGGAAGAAACACACCATAGGATAAAAGTATAAAAACAAATTTAGTATTATCAAGATAAAATATAAGATTTTTAGCATTCATATCAGAAATGAGAACTCTTTTTGACCTCATTACTTTCCTCTGGTATTACTAGGAAGTCAATAATTTTAATAAACACAACTACATAGGACTTCCCAACCTCCCCCTAGTGGATTCATGCCACTTTGACTATGTTTCAAGGCACTATACATGAGTATTTGAACTTCACAGTCATGCAACTGAAGCTGAAGCATGCCTGCATAGCAAATTCAATGCACATTTTGGCTGCATGCAGATAAAGAGGTCTATTATCAGTTCAACCAAAAAGGTGGACTAATTTTCAGTCTGTAATATGATGTATACCATATTCCACATGTCTAACTATTGACTGAAAACTGAACTGGCCACAGAATTAATAAATTAAACACCCACTACGGATAGAACTATGGATGGTGTGCATTGAATTGTTTCTCCACCAAGCTTTACAGACAAATGTTACTTTTTCAGTGTCTGTTGAAAAACAAAATTAGCTAAACAAGCCTTCCCTAACAAGAAAGATTAGGATACCTAATTACAAAAATTTGAACAATTCTTCCACTTTTCCTTTTTATTGTTTACCACTCAGGAATTTTATTGGATGTAGAATGGTATTTAATTCCTGTAAATATTTAAATTATAATTGGAATTCATGACAATTAGCTCTTGACAGATATATTGATGGCAAACATGGAACTGGTTACATATTAATTTAAAAAATGAAATCGTTGACTATTTTAAAATTTATTTTACTGAGATACAAAAAAGACACTGAGGTTTGTACTGGATAATGTAAAAACTGATCTTGTTCCATAGGTAGGTGAACTGCCACAGAACTGCATGCAACATAATCATATAGCACCACCACTCTGCATCCTTGGACAGCTGTCAAGGGACTAAGATCTTGGCACTGCTTTCTCATTCCATTTCCACCAATCCCTAGTACTAGGCAACTCAACATCAGCCATTTAAGTTTCCTTCGGTGTTCCTGAGTGAAGCTGCATAAGGAAACACTGTTGGAAATTTAACCTGTGGCTCTCCTGTGCTCTACCACCACCAGGTAAGCCCACCAGGGAGCTGACTTCAATAGCTGATGGACCACCCAAGGGCACTGGGCCCCCAATTCATCAAGGCTGATGCCAGCTCTGAAATTAGTAACTCAAGAGGAAACTTGAGCCATTCAGCACCAGGTAATGGATAGGGGAATTAAAGCACATCCATCCATGACAATATGAACCAGTCTGGATTACACTGGGTGGTGTGCAGCTGGTCCCTGTGGAACTGCACACATGATCTTATGGGTAGAGAAACTTGGCTACAGTCTGTGTGTGCACAGAAGGCACATTTGTGCATGACTTCCTTTCCCCCGCTGAATTTTGCCTAGAAATATATTTCAAGGTAAATCTGTTAGTTCCTGCTTGGGAGAAAGGTTTGGGGACATTCAAAGGAAACACTACTTAATTTAATGGCAGTTTGTTATAGGGTTGGCAACTAATTCAGATCCTCCTTTCACTTGCTGTTCTCAGCAAAGTAACCAGGACCCTCAAGGTGGTTAAGAATGGCCCAGCCCTTGGTCCTTTTACTCAAAATAGTGATACAATAGTCACATTTTAGAGAGATTGAAATCCTTGCACTGTCACAAAGCTTGCTGGATGGCCTTTCTGCACTAGCACAGGATTGTTTATTACCCTGAATGCCTTAAACCAAGTGTATTAATAATATTATTGCTACTAATATCTAGAGTTCAAAGAAAAGATGGTCTCAGGCTGTTAGTCAAAATAGGTTGTGAAGGTCATCTGTCCCTTCTGCAACGGATGTCTGACTGAGAAACATCAGTGGACAAAATTAATAGTTCTGAGAATAGATCCTAGACCTTCTGAATTTTAGGGAAATGTATGAGAAATTGGAAGGAAAAGAAACTCCAACAAGACTAGTGAAATTTCTCCTGGAATTTCTGTAATTCAATCAAGAGAGCAGTGTCCCTGCATACTTACAACAATTTTCCCAATATATGACTGCAGAGCAATGTCTGTTTATGTACATAGCAGCAACTGCTTTACAGCCATGTAACTGGGAGTATCCAAAGCTTTGCGGGGAAATAAACCAAAAGAATCCCCTAACAAAAGCACTGAAGTAGCTTCTAACATGATTTTTCATACATGTATCAGTTAGGATATTTTGGATCAGAGTGGGTTCCAATATGTGGCCTTCTATAGCACTAATATTTTGCTAAAGGAAGATATGCAGAATTTCATTCCTGTTAAAGTATAATTAAAAACTTACGGACTTCTGATGCTAATACAGATATATTATGCCAGGCCATTTCTTCCCTATCCAGTTTTTTTGTGGTCACAATTGAACCATCTTCTGGGCTGATGCTGAAATATCTGTCGAGGTCAGTGTGACGATCAATTGAATATCTAAAAGGGGATGCAAATGAAGTAATTAGAGGAGAATTATTCAGTGGCCTCAGCTCATTTAATGTCTCCCAAACATTGTATGGCATATTGCTTTAAAAATAACTTTGCAGCAGTATGCTTAGCAAGATAAAAATATTAATTTAGATGCACTAAATCACTTCTGGATAGAAATAGATTCACATTGCTTATTTCAACAGACATGTGAGGAAAACTGTTCCATATCAGTGTGTGTTGCTGCTGCTGCTGCTGCTGCTGCTGCTGCTGCTGCTGCTGCTGCTGCTGAGGACCATATTTTAGGATGGAGTGATCCCTTGTCAGGGCACAGATTCTGAAGATTATCTGAAGATTTCTGAGTAAGCACTTATAGTAAAATGGAGAGTGGGTAGGAATGGGGTCTGTTAGCCATGTCACCAATGCTGCAACCTCTGTTGTTCCTGCCTAGGGATGCATGAGGACTCTGGTAAGAGGATGATAATCTGAAGGGTTTTTTTAAACCATGGATTTTGTTCCATCATATCTACACTTTTGCTGAATCAATTTGATGCGTTGAGGCATGTGGACTTCTGTTTTTATGCGTCTCTATCTTCTTTTTCTTCTGCCACAAAACTTCCACAGAAGTCAGGCTTATCTTCCATAATTTACATAAATGTGCACAATTTTCAGAGATGTCCAAATTTAGCACAAGTCTGAACATAGCAGTCAGCAAATTCAAGGTGGCCAAGGTGCAGTGTGTGCATGTGCAGCGAGCAAAGGATGCCTCCATACATGTCGTGTCAAATGCTATAAACAAGAATGACAGCAACATCTTGACTCCAACAAGCAAGCCCAAATTTGTTCAGTTTATGCAATTTGCCAAATTACACTGGAGAGTACCTCTTTTCCACTCCAAATCTGCCCAAGCAATTGAAGAAATTTGAGGAAAACACAACCCTGTGACTTGGCCCACCTTTGGCTGTCAGGTTGGAAATGTGTCCCACATTGTCTTCCAGGGTCTCACATTCCTTTTCGTGCCCTCCCACCACCACTAACACAGGAGGAGGAGGATCTGAAACTGGGAGCCTGCTTCATGCACATAGGCTGCCCCATAATTTGGAACCTTGCATGGTCAAATTCCCAAATCAAGGCACACTTCCGAGCATGCGGAAAAAGTTTCCCTCTTCAGCCCTTGCCACAGTCTGTTGGGCAGCAGGGACTGGAGCTCTGTTCTACAGACAGTGGCAGTTCTCTGATTAAGGGCCTCGTACAGGGCTCAGTCTGCCACTGAAAGTGGCCCACTGTGCCAAGTTCTCTCCAAATCCCGAATACTGTGATACGGCTATGCTTTGAGTCTTCTTGTCACCTGCTGTACATCTTGGATTGTCACAAGTGGTGATAAGGACTTATGAGGACATGATCTGCATGTTTAAGGGAGATAAACTTAGACAGGGAGATGACGGTTTTATTAGAAAACCTGTTCTACCAGTAACATTTTATTCTATCCTTAAATGGATTGTGTAAAACGTCCATGCATTCCTTTTGCATTCACCTAGAGGTATTTATTTCACATATATTTTAACAATTCATGTTAAGTCATTTTAGAACATCTAGCCTGAGCTTACTCTGAATCATTCTATGCTTCATGGTTTGCTAGCTTATTGGTGTTTCTAGTTCATTTACTACAAATTTATCTATAATACACCCTCTTCTAGTAGTTATGAAAGCTGTGCTGAGGTCTTGGAAAAATATTAGTATTCAAAATTTGAACCAGTTGCATATAAAAATAATAATAAAATTGAACGTTGGGTGGTGCCTGCCATTCCTTCTAAGTTGTTTTTTATTACATCATACAGGAATGCTCTGTGTACCTCACATGATGCAATACATAGAGTGATGTAATTGAAGTGTGCAGTTCTCTGACTCATAAAGTGAACTAGGCCTGTTCATTATTCTGGGCTGCATTATGAAGTGATAATACCCAAAAGTTTTTTTCCATTCTGTCTAAAACTGAACCCCAGTTCCCTACACTTTTTTCCCCCATCCTGGGTCTTATGGTAGCATCCCAGGCACCATGACCTCTGGGAAATTAATATTTGCTAGGGCACCTAAATCCTTAGTATATGCAATAGCCAACTGTGTCATTCTGCTAGTAGAAATGATGTTGACATAGTGGAAACTAAGTTTAGAACTGTGGGCAAGAAGAGTCTCCAGCTACAGTCAGTGTGGTTGCAGAGGTGCTGTTCTTTATGCTAATGTAACTCATTTGTACAACAACACATTAAGCAAGCATAATGGGCAACCACCTGCACAACAGAACATTTTAAAGTGTGCTTTAGCCTGCACACTGTTATGTAAACTTTGTCTTGGCTAATCAAGGTACAGTCATTATACAAATTCTAAAAGATGGCCTTCCTTTTCACTAAAAAGGAGCTAAAGGTTTCCCCTTGACATTAAGGTCCAGTCATGCCTGGCTCTAGGGGGTGGTGCTCATCTCCATTTCCTGGCTGAGGAAACCAGCATTTGTCCTCAGACAGTCTCCGTTGTTCATGTGGCTGGCATGACTAAACACCGAAGAGCATGGAACGCTGTTACCTGCCCACTGAAGTGGTACCTTTTTATCTACATGCATTTGCATGCTTTTGAACTGCAAGGTTGGCAGGAGCTGGGAGGGAGCAACAGGAACTCACCACGTTGTGCAGATTCGAACCGGCGATCTTCCGATCAACCAGCCTAGCGCACAGCAATTTAAACCACTGCACCACCTGCATCCCTATGCAAAATGTTATGTGCTAGCAAAACAGATAAATTGTACTGAAGTCTCTGTGTAATTTTCTGAAAGAGAAAAATATCTGATTCCATCAATGAATGCACGATGGAATGAAAGACACATGACAATCATTAAACAGAGGCACAATGGCTTAAACAAAACCTATACATTTCTAGTTCAGAGATTTTAATTTACCACTGCTTAATTCTATCCAAAGCTGACTTTCACCAACCATTGTTCACAGGTAGTGCTTAGCACTGGCAAGGGTGAGAGCACCACCTCTTTCTTTTCTTTTTGCTAAGAGATTTTGCAGCAGCTGTGTTGGCAGCCATGTCCCTATTCTTCATTCTCCACAAGTCCATACCTAGCATTGTTTTGGAGCATTGTGTGATGGGTGGGAAGAAGAAAGGTGAAACCCACTAAAAATGAGAATTTAGAGAAATTCTGCAAGTGAGGAAAGAAAAGGATAATCTCAGAACATTTTTCAGAAATGTTGGTTCTCTTTTAGTTGTTGGGCTTCACACATTCCCTAGGATCTTCAGATGAATACAATTTCTGAGGAGTGATTATGGATGCATCTTATCTTCAATGCAGATGCAGAGAAATGATCATACAATGAAAGACAGGAGTGTTGTGCATGTTCCTCAGCTGTGTCCTCAGTAAGGTTGGCACCAGATCACTCAACCGAACCTATGATTTTCCCCCTGCAAAAATGTCTTTGCATTTCATTTTGAAAGCAATTTCTTTTCGGTTAACTTGGATGTGAATGGTCACCAAAGAGTTAGGAGAAATGTTCATCACAGCATTAATTTTACCTCTAAAACCACCCTTCCTGTTTTGCAAACATACCTGATAGGGCTGTTTTTAGCATCAGGGTCTTTGGCATGAACCCTTCCAACTGGAGCATCAGGGCTTGCATTCTCTTCCACTTCAAAAATGTAAGTTGGTGCTAAAAACACTGGTGGCTCATCAGCATCCTCCACGTTAATTTTCACAGTTACAGTATCCTTGAATGGTCCATTGCTGATGAACTTTGGGTCAATATGTACATTGGCTGCCTCTACCTTCAGACTGTAGGTCCTTTTGGTTTCATAATCAACATGCTGAAAGAAACAAGATGCCATCACTCAGAATCAATGCTAAGGCTGTTTTTACAAATGAAACGCAAGGAAGCGTTCCTGTAGCATAAGTGGCTGTAGGATACTTTGTATTCTTTGATCTGATATAGGAGACAGTATTCTGAGCTGTAAAATGGTGCTCCAATTCCTCTCCTTCCATCCTAACTAGCATGGAAAGAAGCATGCTAGCTACCTTTTTAATATTCAGAACTCAACTGTGGAAAGGGCATAAAATGAGAATTCTGGTGAGCTGGGAGGAGACTGCAAAAGCTTTTGCCTTTTAAGGTCAATATTCCTCTGTCTTTGAAGCACCCCAGTTGGATGGTTTAAAATAGCTGTCTAGCAGAAATACTGTGACAGGTACAGAATGCTTTAGGTGCTCCTCTCAATCAGGATAGTATGTTCACAATTGTCCAGGGATGGGGACTTATGAACAGAAGTAACAGAAGGGTGAGACACCAATCTATAGGACTAAGTCCTAAGCTTATTGTTACTTCTATGCATATTTCCCATATGAGCACAATTATGTAACCACACATACCATGACTTAGGGAGGTTTGTATGTAACGTCCTGTGGAATGTTATGCCCTCCGCAGCCTTCAAAATGTTAGAATTTAAGAAGTTAAGTTCAAAGAAATAAAAGATCAAGGATCCCTGTTGTTTCACATTCTGCTCTTTATCTTAAAGCCAAAGTAAGTAGTTCTGGAAATAGCTATTTTAAAAAATTTATTGCTAATAGTAAAGAGTAGACAAAGTTTAGACATTATCAATGCCTCAAGACTGTCAAAGAAACCACCAACAAAGCAGTTCCTAACATTTTGCATGGGAGGGGGGAGGGAAAGGGAGAGGGCATGAACTAATTCTTGGTTTGCATGCTTTATCTATACTAGATTAAACGGGCTCTCAGTGGGTGCTCAAAATCCTGGTTGCAACACTGAAAGTATCCCTCATTCAATGAGAAGACTGGAACACTTCTGTTTGCAGTTTTTTAGCAGTTGTGACATTTCATTGCTTGTATCCAAGTTCCACCTGGAAATCTGGATGATCTAACTCTGCAGATGTGCCATTTACTTAAAAGCAAGTTCATGTAGGTGTGCAATTTGACATCATTAAAATACATTAATGATGCCTTCATTGCAGTAAAGGAGATTGAAAAAGGCTGCAACCTACATATGATTGAGAAGGGTCAGAAAGCGATTCACTCATGAAAACATCAGGAGAAGTGGGCCTTCAAGCAGTTACTGCTCAGCAAGCATCTGCAGATCTGGAGTCTCTCATTATTTATTTACATTTATTTATTTAAGATATTTGTATGCTGTCCTTTGCGAGAGCCTCAGGACGGCTTACACAAATAAAATACATATATATAAAAGTATAGCATAAATACATTAACGACCCACTCTGGCTGCAATTAAAATATGATAATAAAATTCAGTATTAAAACTTGTTAAGATATTGATTAAATAAAAAGGTCTTAACCTGGCGCCAAAAAACATATAATGACTGCGCCAAGCGGACCTCTCTGGGGAGCGCATTCCATAGATGGGACGCCACTGCAGAGAAGGCCCTCCTCCAGGTACTCTGTTTCCTAATATCTTTCACAGAGGGTTCCCGGGGGAGGGCTTCTGCTTCCAATCTCAGGGGGTGGGAGGGCAAATAGGGAAGAAGGCGTTCCTTTAGGTATCCTGGTCCCCAGCCATTTAGGGCTTTATAGGTAATAACTAGCACCTTGAATTGAGCCCAGACTTCTATGGGAAGCCAATGGAGCTGATAGAGGACTGGGGTTATATGAGAGTAATTCCCAGTCCCTGACAGCATCCTGGCAGCTCTGTTTTGCACCACCTGAAGTATCTGGACTGTCTTCAAGGGCATTCCCATGTAAAAAAGTGCATTACAGAAGTCCAACTGGGAAGTAACCATTGCGTGTGTTACTGTTGCTAGGCAATCTTCCATTATTGCTTTCAACTGCAGTACTGCACTATTCTATTATTTCGCTTATTTAAAAAAATGCTGAAAAATTAAACGAACTATTATTTCCAAACAATAGGACTTTACAGATTACCCTTAACTCTCAAATATTCTGGAAACACTTCTCCAAAACTCAATTCAAATCCTTCCTCCAAACTCCATTCTGTGGCAACATCTGGGGAGGAATCCCAAGTGGACAGAAAATAATCCACAGCCTTCCATCTAATCAGCAGCTTCACTTTTTTCGTGGTGATGTCATCATGTGCTTTGAGCTTTCTTCACTGAATGCTTTCACACTCATTGTTTAGGATGTCCTTTGACATTGTTCATTGAAATAAAATGTAGAGAAAGGACAACCAATTTGCAGCATTGCTTAAAACACAGTAACTAATGAAGCAGAACGTTTGTGCTTCCATTTGGTGCTTCACATTCGATGCTGAGCTTGGTTCTGCTGGTGGCTTCAGCTGTATAAGGAAAGACAACCTATTTTCCTGCTGCAGGCAGAACCCCAATAAGTGGCTTAGGCAGGATGATCCTCTTGATGGGGCCATAGTGCAATTCAGCCTATGTTTGGTTTATTTTCTCTTCTTTTACTGTATCTTTCTCTCACTACAGAATGCATATGGAAGGAATACTGACAGCTGAAATTACATTCTCATCAAAAAAGCAGGCATAAAGAGAAATCCCTTGTAATTTTCACATAATCCGAAAATTCACACTGTACTGCCAACTTGAAAATGAATGCCTGATTTATAACCGAAGCAATCCCATCATTTATTTCCAAGTTAATATGCAATACGCTTTGAAGAGCGAATGGTGTTGATTTCTCAAGTGGAAGATCAGTAAAAGAATAATGTACTTTCTTCACTTTAAAAAGATGTTAAGAAGCTTCTAAGCATCAATGCTTCCTTTTCATAATCACTTTCCTTCCATTCTGGCTGCAGGCATTAACTGATAACAGTAAAATGGGATGCTGGAAGTTAATCATAGCTTCATAAACAAATTATCCAAAACTGCATTTGCTGTGATTTTCCTACCATAAGTGATAATCTATGACTATTGTATTTTCTGTGAGGCATGGAAAGAAAATGAAGTATATTATCCATTTACAGGAATGAAAGGACAGCATTGCTTACCTTCTTAAGCTTCACGACCCCTTCCTGAGTCTCATAATCTGTTGTAATTTCAAACATCTCTATTCCATCTCCATCAATAATGTTGTAAGTTACTAGGCCATTTTCTCCAATATCTGGATCTTTGGCCTTCACTCTTCCAGCTTCCTCCCCTGGGATAGATGCTTCTGATATAGACATCTGGTAAACACCTACAGAAAGAGTGATTATTGGTAAATGAGCCATTATGGTTAGTTTCTTTATGTGCATTATTTTGACTTGCAGGGAAGGCGGATGTGCTCGCGATCATCACCTGATGCAGAGTTTGCGACCTGTGGCAAAATGTTTATGAAATTTCTGTTTGTGACCCAATTTGGTTGTGAACTGAGGTGTTCGTGAGCCGAGGTACCACTGTATGTTGGGACAGATTAAGCCTACTATAATGAAAGGAGGGAAAGCCACAACAAAGCAAAACCCACACTAAATCCAAGAAGGAATTAACTAGTTACCAATATGGGTATGTATATGTATGCACATATATTTACATTCAGTGGTGCACTGAGGTATTTCCAACCATTGAAAATTGGAAATGTGAGTTAGAGTGGATACTTAGAGTACACTCACTTTAATAAATGGGACATATAGTTAGTAGGTCCAACAAGTTCTGATTTCAATGAATCTGACCTTTGTATTCCTCAGAAGATTGGCTTTTTCCAGGTTGTGCAGACTTGTAAGCCATTAAACATAACATAATTTGATGGAAGGGATCTGCAGAAATGTACATTTGCACTAGTGGAAAGACATTACTTCCCACTTCAGTTATCTTGTCCTCCTAGTTAATTGTTTATGACTTTTCGTTTGTTTATGTGAAATGGCACAGCACACAGAATGGGTAATATTTTTTACTCTGCTACCAAATAAAAGTAATCATAGTAGTAGTAACAGTAGTTGTAGAAATGATGGATTACCATAGCAGGAGTGTCAGCTGTCTCAGGAAGGAATTTAAAATAGACTAATCTAATTTGCATGTAGAAAACATTGTACCTTAAAACTACATTTTAGTTCCCTTCTTTGCACATTTTAAAATTGTAAATGCTGAATCTGGAGTTTTCTTAAAACACAAATGTGGTAGCAACAGTGTGAGTGATACCTTTCCCCCACTAAATGTAGCATGGAAAGCTGTAGATGGGGAGAATCATTTTAACCTCCTCTCATACAATGCCCACCTCCTGTCCATTGCTCATCTCGTAATTGGAAATCAACTACAGCATATGCAGAGATGGGGTGGCGGCACAATCTTTGCATGCGTATGTATGTGTGCATGAAATGTGTGAGAGTCAGAATAGATTTGTATATCAGTGTATGGATATTCATGGCGTATGTCCGTGAAAGAGAACGAGGAACTGCTATGAGGACTCACACTTGACAAGTTATTAAGATAACAGGAGAGGTCCTTTCAAAGATATACCTGTTTCCAGGGGCCTACTTGTCAGGCAGATGTGGAAAGGGCTTCTTTGGGTGTCTCAAGCACTGAAAGCTGCGGGTGTCACTGGTCCCTTCTCTCCTTGCATTCAAGGAGAGGTCATCTAGCCTTTTTTTTTTTGGTTTGGATTTCAGAGTTGCCATGATGTTTTCAAATGAGTTTATTGTTTTATTCTATTTTATCTGATTATTTTGATTTGTATTTTACTTAGAGGATTTCAGAAAGAGGGTAATGGATAAATTTTGAATAAATCAACACATAAATAATAAAACTGCATGTCATATATGAATAAATGGCCATGCCTTATGTGTAGATGTACACAGATATATATGCATGTGGTCATGAGTGTCTGAAGAGCATAGGAATGAATGGAAAGGTTACCCCTCTTTAGCTTTGACCACCACCCATGTTTTGAGTTGCGGGTTCATGCACACAGACATGCAGAAGGTTGCCTAGATTGTGATGTAGCCTTTGGGCCAAAAAGGATTCCCTTGCCCTGGCTAAATTTTGAAGGAGTATTAAAGTGTAGTTAAGGTTTGCTCATGAATCTTTCTAGGATGAAAAGGGGGTGGGATTGAAGAAGTCTAAAAGCATTTTCCCCTCACCCATTCAGAATCTATTATTAATGGTCATTGTTTGCACTTGTTCCCCTTCTCCCTTTGTTTCTGCTTTAGTACCATTTTTTTAATCACCAAGTGATCTTGGGTACCATGTAAAAAATGCAAAGTTATCATAAGGCAACAGCAGTTATCAGTGGATGGTTCCGCTGACCAAATGGCGGCTGATCCATCTGTTCTGGATGAGTTTGCACTTCCCTGGAAGTGCAGGTTCACAGCTCTGGGGGTGTTCCTTGATACATTTTCATCACTTGAAGCTCAGAGGGTGTCAGTGGCATGGAATGCTTTTTACCAGCTTCAGCTGGTGGCCCAGCTACACCCCTTCCTGGTCAGGGACAACCTGATTTCAGTAATGTATGATACTGGGATTTAAATTTCTGAAGTTGCAAATGTGAAAATTGTCAACGTGCTTAGTCTCTGTGGCCTAATGGGTAGATGTCTGAGCTGAGGGTGCCATGGTGAGAGTATCAGAAGTATCAGTGCTCACACGTGCTGACCACGCTCTTGTATAGACCACAACAGTCTCTAGGTTTGTAGGGCTGGAGCCTACTTATCATACTGTGGCCTACTGAGGTTCATTTGGCCAGGGTGCACAGAAGGGCTTTTCAAATTGTGGCACCCATCATGTGGAATGCTGGATCTCACCAATGAGATTCGACAGGTTCCTAGCATGGAGTGCTTCTACCAACAACAGAAGTAGCCCAGGAAACTACTCCTAGCATTGTTAACAACCAATGATCATTTTAATGGGACTTTATTGTATTCTATCATGATTTTATCCGGTAAATCTCTATGGTGGTGGGATTATTAGTAGTATTGTAAATAAAAATGATGTATACATTTTCTTAAATAAATAAATATCAATTAGTAAAATGAATGCTGGCAATAATCTGCTCATATTTTTGAACTTTGGACATACAAAGCCCTTTGTATTTTTCCCTTCAAAACAAAATGGGGAATGTCTTTCTGAATTCTCATATAAACTTTCCCAAGTCACACATTCCAGATCAATGTCTGGATTGGTACTTAGTTATCTACCAAAAAGTGCATTTTCCAAGACAGTTGTCATTCCAAAGAGGCATCAAAATATATGAGATACAATGCAAGCAGGAAAATATGTTTAGAAATGCATATGTTGAGAAAATATATTGACAAGTAATATTTAAGTATGCATTCGATGCAATTTCCTTGCAAAGCTTTTAAATTCACAGTTTGGATGGAAAGATTGATAACTGAGTGGAAATATGCACGTTTCTCCCTTTCTCCCTTAAAGAGATGTGTATGACAATATCCCTTTTTCTACCTGCATTTTTAAAAGAAGCAGGGATAAAAAAACATGTTGAAAAACTCTGTGCTTGATGCACCACACATGATACCGAATACAGAAAGTGCCTCCAACCCTCAAAATAAGTGGAAATAAAGTCTCCATGAAACAGATAAATCCTCTGAAAAGCAACTAACAAACAGGTTTTGTCATTGTTGTGGACCTTTGAGAAAAAAGGAAATATAAACAGAAATTGCTTTTAAGAATAGAGTCCTTGTCAGTTTCACAGTGTGCATGAATTCATAAAAATAAGATACCATTTCTTTGGATTCTCTTGTTACAATGCATAAATTTTCTCTCTGAAGTGCATTTTTATTGCTTTGATTCAGTGTAGTCTCAACTGTCTCAGTTAACAGGCTTTCCAGCATTTCCAACCAAAAGTCTAGACCACATCCCATTGATCTCAGCAGGGGTATGTTTTTAAAACATCATCATCCAGTATGTTTTGAAAGTGAGGCACACAAGCCCAAACCTCCCCCTGTGTCTTAATCCTGTCTTTGAAAATGGTTCACAGTAGGCCACTGGGAAATAGTTTAACCCCTTTATGCATCAGTTTGCCCAATTCTTCAGGTTTCTATTGTCAGGTATGCTACGTAATAACTGATCCCAAACACAATTTGATTAGGACTGCATAAATAGGTCTTCTTCAAGCTCCACAGTGTTTACATTTTTTTCAAGTAAAAGTTTGGTCCATTTCATTTCCTTATCTGTTTGAAAATACCATTTTGTTTTTGTTTATATTTTCCTTAAGTATTTTAATTTTGTTTAAGTCTGCATGAAAATTCCTATCGATTACCCTGTGCACATTCAAATGCATATTTTCTTTTCATCAAATAGATGCATTTTTGCATAACAGAACTCTGGAAAAATCACACAGGGGCACTGCAAGCATAGAAAAAGATCCTTGTTGCAAAGGTGTGTCTCTGACATGCCCTTCTTGAAGAAACCCTTTTCCTTAAAGCAGCTAGTGATGGATGATGCCCTAGAGACAACCAACCTGGAGCCTTTTTACCTCAGTCTTCCCTACAAGGAACTCTTCAATCAAGAGGAAGTACAAGCTGGAAGTGAGAGATGGCAGCCCAAGATTGACAGACAAATGGTCAAGGAATACCTAGGTGGAATAAACAGGGCCCGATGAACTTCATCCCAGAGTTATAAAAGAGCTAGTGGAGGAAATCTCAGAACAACTGGCTATTACCTTCCAGAAATCTTGGAAAGCAGGACAAGTGCCAGACGACTGGAGAAGGGCTAACATTGTCCCTATCTTAAAAATGGGAAAAAGATGAGCCTGGGAACTATAGACGAGTTAGTCTGACTTCTATCCTGGAAAAATTCTGGAGCAAATTATTTAAAAATCCATCTGCAAGCATCTTGAAGAAAATGCAGTGATTAATAGAAGCCAGCATGGATTTATCAAAAATAAAACCTGTCAGACTAATTTAATGCTATTTTTTGACTGGGTAACTTCCCAAATGGAAAAATGGGACACTGTGGACATCATCTACCTAGACTTTAGCAAAGCTTTCAACATAGTGCCTATTCTGATAAGCAAATTAGCAAAAACTGGACTAGATGGAAAAACTATTAGGTGGAATCCAAAATTGCCTGCTAAATTGGGCACAAAGAGTGCTCATCAATGGCACCTTCTCAAATTGGATGGAGGTAACTAATGGGGTGCCACAGGGTTCAGTCCTGGGCCCAGTGCTCTTCAACATCTTTATTAATGTTTTAGGTGAGGAAGTACAAGGAAAGCTAATCAAAATTTGCAGATGATACAAAACTGGGTGGGATAGCAAACACCCTAGAAGGCAGAATGATGATCCAGGGCAATCTTGATGAACCTCAAAGCTGGGCTGAAAGCAGCAGAATGAAATTCAACAAGGACAAGTACCAAATTTCCCACCTTGGAAAAAGAAACCAAACACATCAGTACAAGATGGGGAATACATAGCTCAACAGAACTGAAAAAGAAAAAGGTTTTGGAGTAATTGTGGACAATAGACTAAACATAAGTCAACAATGTGAGGCAGTATCTAAAAGGAAAAATGCTCTTTTGGGATGTATTAACAGAAGTATTACTTCCAAATGACGAGAAGTAGTAGTTCCTCTATACTTCTCATTAGTCAGACCTCACCTGGAATTCTGTGTCCAGTTCTGGACACCAAGATTTAAGAAAGATGCAGGAAAATTAGAAAGGTCTAGAGGAGGGCAAAAAAACTGCTTTATTGTGTGAGCTGCTTGGGTTAGTCTGATGAAGAAAAAAAGGATATTGGATGCTAAAATAAAGTCTATATGTTCTGTAGGATTGCTTATGCAATGTCATGTCATCAGTACCTCCAAGGAAATCAACTTTATAGACAAGAGGCTTATTCATTTATGCTTTACAGCTAACTGCAGTTTTGGTCTCTTCTTTTCTCTAAGACAAGAAGTACAAAATATGTATGTGCTATAATACTGAAGCAGATTGCTCAGACAATTAATAAATACTAAAAATACTGCAATATTTTCCAGGGCACTTACACTTCCGTCTTCGGTTGTGTGCCACAGAAAACCCGAGAGAAGGGAAGTTGCATGAACGGGTCAATCAATGGCTATCAGCCATTGAGAACTATGTTGCCCTCCTATCTGTGGCAGCAGCAACAGAAGGGAAGGTTTATTGCTTTTATGCTGTCCTTGTGGGTATTCCATGAACATCTAGTTGTTCACTGTTTGCAACACTTGGCTGTCTTCTTGTTTTTCACTTACTCTGTGGGAACTTCGGTGGGTTGTCATTGACATCGGTAAGTGTAATGGTCACTTTGGTTGTCCCTGAGAGTCCTCCCATGTGTCCTCCCATGTCCTTTGCTTGTATGACGACATGATATTCTTCTTTTGCTTCTCGGTCCATGTTGGGAAGAGCAGTTCGAATAATACCTTTAGGCAAATCATATGGGAGGTAAAGGGATTAGAAAGCATTATTTAAAATTTTCAGTTCACACTTAGAATCCAACTTAGTAACATGGATATTAATTTCCACAAACACTGGCCCACATTCCTCCAGAAAATGGATGCTCAGTATAGGTGAAACAGACTTGATTTAGAGTGGAGTTGCCCATGTTGTGGCCTACCAAACAGAATGCAGCTTGATAAACTTTCTGAAAAGGTTGAAAAACCTTATATTTTTGTCAAAGCTGTGCACAAATGGCCTTGCGAAATCCAGCCTCATATCTTCAGAGGGATAAATTGATGTGGGGAGAGCAAGTTTACTGAATTTCTTAAGCAGGAGAAGTTCTCCAACATATTCTCATAGGTAGTAATCTCCACTAGCAGGTTTGCAGCACAGCACTCTTTTAAATTCTGTTATGGCTGTGTGAGGGAGATAACGTTGTGGGTAAGTCCAAGGAACTACTGATAAAGCTCCTGCTGTCTCAACATCTTTGCCCATTCCTGAAAGTGTGCTTGGCCTATGGTGCTTGCTTGCAAACTGCTATGAGGTTGAGATGTGGACACATTCACCTGAAAATAAAACAAACTTGCCACTACTAAACCTCACTGTATTTTGTCAATACAGCAAATAGAGCAAAGGCTGGTGTGTGTGTGTGTGTGTGTGAGAGAGAGAGAGAGAGAGAGAGGCTGGTGTGTGTGTGTGTGTGTGTGAGAGAGAGAGAGAGAGAGAG